TAGTTTTCCTTTTGGGTGATGTCTTTTCCTGGTTTTGGTATTAAGGTTATGCTTGCTAGACTATATACTTCTAACTGATGAACTGAGGCCTTGTAAGGTGAACAACATTTGTGCAAGGGAATAAAAAACAGGCTTGAGGTAGTGATGACTGGGCAGGATTGAACCACAGGGATCCCATGAATTATACTGAAGGTCCCTTACCATCTTTGGTCATCTCACACTGAAACCCAAAGGGTAACCTATGGTCAGCATTAGTAATTGGTTCTCATGTGAACTGTTGGCTGCATTATTTGCTGAACATTTTGCTAATTTCAAAGAATGACCTGTGGCTGTTGAGTTGACTCTGAGTCATGGCTACCACCTGTGTATCAGAGTAGAATTGTGCTCCACAGGGCTTAGAATGCCTGAATTTTCACAAATAAGTCATAGACTTTCCTTATGAGGCACTCTGGGTAGACTTGAACCTCCAATCCTTCTGTTAGCAGCTGAGTGGGTTAACCATTTGCACCACCCAAGATTCCTTTCAAAAAATAGTTGGCAAATAAAGTGGCCTGTTACATAAGAGGAGGAGAGGAAAACTGGGGCTGAAAGTAGTTCCTTGTATGTCCCACTCTGCTAGGTACTTCACATGTTGTTGTTGTTGTTATATGCCGTCGAGTCAAACCCGACTCATAGCGACCCCTCCTTGGGTTTCCGAGGCAGTATCACTACGGAAGTAGGGTTGCCCAACCTTCCTTCCGAGGAGTGGCTGTGGGTTTGACCTGCCAGCCGTCTGGTTAGCAGGCAAGTGTCTTAGCCACTATGCTACCACATACACACATTTTATTCTCTTAATAACCCAATTAAGTAGAAAAAGAAAAGAAATGAGGAGGCTTCCTTTTACAGATGAAACTAGAACTTAGTTTTACAGATGAAACTTTTGCAGATGAAACTCTGCCACCAGTAAGTGGCAGAGCTGTTCTAGGAGCCTCGATCTGTGTGATTACAGAGACCAAACACTTTTGCCCAAAAAAGTGGCTCCCAGAAATTATTTACAAGGCTTAGTCTCGTGCACAGCAGAATGTGAGCCTCTTGCTTCCCAAATCCTTACAGGATTCTCTGGAAGGAAGACAAGGGTAAGTGTTGGGGTCAATCTGTTTGATTTCTGTACTTGAAACACCTTGAGAAAAGCCACCACATTTCTCATTAATTAAAATCATTCATTCATGCTCTAAATCAGAACATATTCAAATGATACAGCTTGTGTTTTGTGAAATACAAAGGTATGTAGGGGAAATTGTTATATTCCAGGATTTTATACTTTAGTAGGAAAGCTAAGCTATGTTCCCAAGTAGTTACAATACATGTAGTAAGTTCCTAAGTATTGTGGAAGTTCTGAGGAGGGAAGAAGTAAGTTTTGGAGGATGTGTAGAGGTTTGTTTTTCATCTTTACATTTAAAGCACTGTTCTTTAGCATTGGATTTTTTGTTTTTCATCCTTACATTTAAAGCACTGTTCTTTAGCATTGGATTTTTTTTTTTTTTAAATTGTGGTAAATATGTAGATAACAAAGCATTTGCCATTTCTACGATTTCACACGTACAGGTCAGTGACATTAGTTATGTTCATCATGTTGTTCAACCAGCACCATTAACTGGTCTTGAATTTTTCCATCACCCTAACCACCGCCTTCCATTCCCCCTCCCTTCCATCCATCCCTGGTAACCACTAATAAACTTTGGTCTCTCGTCACTTACCTGTTCTAAGTTATTTTAATGAGTGAGATCATTCAATATTTTTCCTTTTGTGGCTGACTTATTCCACTCAGCATAATGTTTTCAAGATTTAATGTGTATGGTGTTGATAAGTGGAGCAGAGATAGGTCTGTATGGGAGGAAGGTGGTGTTGGGTGACATTCCAGGTAAAGGTAAAGGTAAAGTCAGGGAGTGGAGCGAGAAGAGAACAAGCTGCCCGGGAGATGGGGCAAATTATCAGTTTGGCTGGTCTCAGTTTGTGTAGGGCATTAGTGGGAGACAAGCCTTCTATTGGACTCAGGCAAGCGCTGTTAAATTTTTACTTCATTGTTTGACTGCTAACCAGAAGGCTGATGGTTCAAACCCACCAGCCACTCCTCGGAAGGAATATTGGGCAATCTACTTACATACAGATATTGCCCTGGAAACTCAAGGAGGGGTTGCTGTTAGTAGGTTCTGACTCAATGGCAGTGAGTTTGGTTTTTGGTTTTTGTTACACTCTAATGTAAATATTATATTAAGAACTTTCCAAGTAATCTCAAACAACTCTAAATATTTTCCCTTACCTGCTTACCAGGGTGGGTGTGGGAAGTTAAGAAGTTTTTGGCCCAGAATTTGGCACATAATGGGCACTCCATCAATGTTTGCAGAGTGAATGGGAGAATCTGGGCCTTGTTACAAAATCTCTGTGGGTAGTATCTGCTTAGACATGCCATCCATTTCTTTCTGCTTAGAAATGCCATTCATTCTTTCCAGTGATTGTTGCACATGAGTCTAAGGGGAGCCTTTGTGCCTCAAGGAATTAATGTACAAACTCCCCGAGGGGAGAACCTTACTCATCTAGCCACAGCAGCCACATTGTAAAGTTCACTCTGGTATGCATAGACATTGTTCCTATCATCTAAACTAGAGACACAAATAAATAGACCACAAGAAGAAGTTCAGACAACAGAAGTATTTCAAAAAAAGGGTAAAACTCTAGAGAGGTCAAAAGTAGCACCATTATCAGTCACTGCTGATTATGTACCCTTTTGTCAGATAGCATCCTGTCTAGTTATTAAACAAACAAACAAGTCATTGCACTTGAGTCCATTCCAACTTATAGCAACCCTGTAGGACAGAGTAGAACTACCCCATCGAGTTTCCAAGGCTGTAAATCTTCATGGAAGCAGACTGCCTTATCTTTCTCCCATGGAGTGGCTAGTAGGTTTGAACTGCTGACCTTTCTGGTTAGTAGCCAAATGCTTTTACCACTGTGTCACCAGAGCGCCTTCTGTGGTTCACAGTCCTATCTATTTTCTAATAGGTTTGGTAGAAAAATATACACCTGGCTTTCTTCCTGTCTACCCTTAGAGCTGAGAGACCAGACACAATATTTTCCCTGCTCAGAAGACTCTGACTTTGGGAAGATCAGAAACACTAGGACTTTCTTGATTCCTTCCTCTTGGCTCTTGTTTCCTTAACCCCTCACACAGCACTCTTTGTTTCTTTGTTCCTTCAACTTTTAAAACTTAGATAAAATTCACAAAACATAAAATTTACTACTTTAAACATTTAAAGTATGCAATTCAGTGGCTTTTAGTGTATCCACAGTGTTGTGCAAACATCATCACTATCTAATTTCAGCACATTTTCATCACCCCACAAAGAAAGGCTGAGTCAGTCACTTGCCAACTCTCTCTCTGCTCCAAGTCCTTAATCTACTTTCTGTCTCTATGACTTTGCCTATTCTGGATCTTTCATATAAATGAAATCATAAAATAAGTGGCCTTTTGTGTCTGGCTTCTTTCACTTAGCGTAAGGTCTTCTAGGTTCATCCACATTGTCGTATGTATTAGTACTTCATTCTTTCTCATGGTGAATAATATTCAATTGTATGGATATTCCACACTTTGTCTATTGATAAATTATTGGACATTTAGGTGGTTTTCCTTTTTGGGCAATTATGAATAATGCTCCTAGGAACATTTGTGTGCAAGTGTTTCATTATTTCTCTTGGGTATATAACTAGGAGTAGAATTGCTGGCCCATATAATAACTCTATGGTTTAAACCTTTTCAAAAACTGTCAGATAATTTTCCAAAGTGGCTGCACCATTTTATATTCCCACAACCTGTGTATGAGAGTTCAGTTTCTCTATATTCTTGCCAACCTTTTTTATTATCTGTGTTTTGACATCCTAGTAGCTGTCATTGCACGAATATTGGCAAATTATCCCCAAACCCAATTGCTTCATTCACACCTTTTTTCCAGAAAATCTGTCTAAATATATCCCAAACCTGCAGCTCTCTTATCCACATCTCTGGTCTGGATTAAAAAGTCTTGGAAGTAAAAGGTGTAAGTCTGTAAGCCAGTGTGAGAGTTAGCATCTCATAGTCTAACCACCACAGCCTCCAAGGTTTCAAAGAGTCAGATCTTCACCAACCCAGTTCTGGAATATGGGTTGCTGTATATGAATGCCAGTGGGATGAGGCTATACCCATTACCCAAAAGTGAGGATGCAGGGCTGCCATGCCCAAGGGGCAGAGGAACAGGGTCTGCCAGGCAAAGGGGGTGAGGTTGCCACTCAGGTGGACTAGGAAACTCAACCACCCAATAAAGGAGATGTGTACAGGTGCCAAGTTGACTAGGGATAGAATGTAGTAGTTAAGGCTGTGTGTTAACTTGGCTGGGCTGTAGTTTTGAGTGGCTAGGTAGCTGGATGTAGTTACTCCCCATGACGAGATTGTAATCATCTTCATGGTTGAATCTGCTGTGAGCAGCTAAGTAGGTGCTCTCAGGCTGTGTCCTGCTTCCAGCATATATAGGAAAGCTTTGAGGAAGGTGTCTAGCTTTTGGCACATCTGGATACCACATTTGGCCAAGTCTTCATCTCAGTGGCCTGCCATGTTGCCTGCCAATTTTGGGATTGTTCCTGGACTTGAACTTGTGGCCTGCCTTGTTACCTGCTGATCTTGGGACTGGGCCATTTTACCTGCCAACCTTGTTCATCAGCCTCAGCAGCCAACAGTTAATTGAGTTAGGAGATGCCTCTAGCTCCAGTGGGTCTGGAATAAGAGCTGAAGCCCAAGGTTTAGGGGCCTTTACCTAGCCCCTAGAGCCAGAACTCTGAATTTGGACTTCTAGCCTCCTAAACTATAAGAGAATAAATTCCTGTTTATTAAAGCCATCCACTTGTGGTATTTCTATTATAGCAGCATTAGAGAACCAAGACAGTTAGTGTTTAGAGGAGCTAAAACATTTGCTGCCTCTCCCAAACAGCCACAGCTGTCAAGGGAGCCAAGTGTAGGTTTCAGTGACTCACTGTGCAATCTAGTGGCTGAGGTCTAATGGTGAGCATACTAGCCTTGAAACCAGAATTTCAGGGTTCAAGTCTTAGCCTTGACCCATTCTTACTGTGCAACCTTGGGCAGTGTTACTCCTAGTGTCTACTTCCTCATTTGTAAGATGGGTGAAATACCACTTGGTTAATTATCTCATTTATCACAAAATGAGATGAAATATGCTGAAGTGGTTGGAAAACACTAAGATTGTTTATCAACTTAAGAAATTATTAATAATAACCAAGAGATATTTAGGAAGGGCTGAGTTATGCATCAGTGCCCTCTTATGCAAAGCAAGGAGGCTTTAACAGTGACTGTTCCCCCTGCAGGAGCTCTGGTGGTGCAGTGGTTACAGCATTTGGCTGCTAACCAAAAGATTGGCAGTTCAAACCCATCAGTGGCTCTGTGGGAGAACGATAAGGCAAGAAAGATGAGGCAGTCTGCTTCTGTTAAGATTTACAGCCTTGGAAACCCTATGGGGCAGTTCTACTTTGTCCTATAGGGTCACTATGAGTTGGAATTGGCTTGATAGCAATGGGTTAGGTTTTGGTTTGCTCCCTCAGCCAAGGGCTCAGCCAAGGGTTCCTAAATTGAGGTGATTCAGTCTCCCTTCCACTATCCTTCAAGCCATTGCCCAGGAGTAGGCCTGGAGGCCATACACAAAGATACCTGCTTGTGCTCTCTTTTACTTTCCTGAATGGATTCATGGAAAAAAGAAAACTAAAACAACAAAACTTCTTTCTTTGAAAGAAGAAAGATAGCTTCCCACTTAGGCTTGAGATGTGACCAGAGTCAGGTACCGAGCAGCACCTCCTCATGGGAGGAGCCCTCTGTGCATTCCTTCAGCATTCCTAAAAAGTTAACACCCCACTGGGTCTCATCCCTCTGGCTCTGACCAGTCTTGAGGTCTCAGCTGCAGTCTGCAAGGTGGTGCAGAGATGACCCCTGAGCCGTCTGTGCTGGGCTTTCTTCTTGACACAGAAACGGCTCAGAGAGGACTCTCCTGTGCTTCTCTTTTGCATTTTTTCTCTGGGTATCAACCTATGGAGGGCTTTCTGCACTTTACTGCAAGATTCTCTAAAGTAGGAGAGAGCCTTGGGAGCCTGTTTTACTTGTCTTTCGAGGTCCAAAGTGGCACAGTGCCAGACACATAATAGGTACTCAATAAATGTTTGCTAGGTAAAAGGGTACATAAATGTATAAATGAATATTTGTTTGAATGAATGAATACATGAATTAATTCTTTAAGGCTTTATTTTAAAACAGATTAGAGAGTATGGTAAAGCAAAAAAATAAGCATGGATTTTGGACAGGCCTGATTTGAATCTTGCCTCCACCACTTAGTAGTCTTGTGAAGCTGGGAAGTTACTTAATCTTGTTGAGCTTTATTTCTCAATGGGTATAGTAATACCTAACTTCAAGAATTATGGTGAAAATTAAATGAGAATACATGTGAAGTTCTAATATAATATTAGTTACCCAATCAATATTCATTTCTTTATTTTCTCCCCAGATTCTTGAAGCAGACAGGCAAGGACTAACAGATCACTGCATGGGGAAGGCACTAAAAACCAGTGGTTTACCTCTTTTTTTTTTTTTTAATGACAGAGCCACATTTTCAGAGGAAATACATTATGGCTGGAAACCCTATTCTAGAATTAACAGAAAAGAAATATGTAGGGAAATCACTGAGCTCTGAAGGCAGATACCCAAGAAATTAGAAGAAACTCAAGGGTAAAGTTGCAAAACACTAGTCAAAATGTGGAAATTGATATTAAAATCTCTGTGTCAAAGAAACCCTCATTCATTAGAAGATTTTCAGGAAAGGCTCCTGACAAATTAAACTAGTGTGTTCATTTCCATAACAAACAGACTGGAGGAATCTCTAGGAAGAATTGTGTTCCTGGCACACTTAGGGGAAACCAAAGGAAAAAAAAAAAAACAAAACAACTCACTGCCATCAAGTCGGATCCAACTCATAGCGACCCCTCCTTGGGTTTCCAAGGTGGTATCTCTACGGAAGTAGATTGCCCAACCTTCCTACTGAGGAGTGGCTGGTGGGTTTGAAACCCCAGCCTTCTGGTTGGCAGTCAAATGCCTTAGGCACTATGCCACCAGAACTTTCCCACTTAGGGAAAAGGCAACATGATATCTCAGAAAGAAAAGTCAGGCCTGGCTAATCTTTTTGAGTTCTTTAGAGGTTAATAAATGCCTATGCAATTAGCTTATTTAGGTTAAAAAAGAAAAACTTTGAAAAAGTTTCACACTAATGGCTATTTAAAAAAAAAAAAACAAACTATGAATTTGGTGACCTT